TAATTTTGTTTTGTTTTGGGTATTTTTTCAAACTACCGGCTCAAAAACGGTGCACTGAACAATGTTGCGAATTCATATTTTTCTCCAAGTTGTTATTGTACTGATTCAGGTCTGCAACTGGGAGATCCGGCACCGCTCATTGGTTTGTTGCTGTGGTCTAGCTGATATTTTGTATATTTAATTTGACTAGGGTTTAAACTTGTTATGGGTAAAAGAGAAAAGACAAACCCATTACACGTAACTTAACATGGTACCATTATTTTTGTTCAGTCATAGTTAAAGAGCTAGATTAAGTTACGACAAGCCCCCTAACAAAAATCCTCAAAATACGTATCTTGCGCACGCTGTTAAATCCCTTCAAGTCAGGCTGTGTTTAGAGTATTAGCTGGGCTAAAAGATTAAAATCTTTTTTAAAGCTTTGAGTTGAGAAGCACCTCACCCCTTAGATCCTCAATAGAGTAGAGCTACCGTAAATCTCCTATAAAGCCCCCTTTTCCAGGGGAAAAAATCAAGCTCTGACTCTCTTTTACACCCCCTACCCCTTAGTTAATAAATAAATGGTACATTGTATTAACTAATCATGATTGTAACACTTCATGTGGACTGATACGAGGTATTCACCAGATTTACGTACTGTCTTCTGCTGCATGAAATCCAGACTCTTGTGCTTGAGCTTACCATTTTGCTCTTTAGTTCCATTTAGGGAATTGATAGCATCTTCTGTCTCATCAGGGTTGTTTGAAATGCATTTCAGCGTCCGGGGGAGGGGGGGTACTCTACGAAGTTGTATGTTGTATAGGAGGAGGCTACGCCCCGAGGTCCAACCCCTAGCTTACCCTTTTATATACGACTTTTGATAGAAAAAGTGTCCCTCTCGTTTATACCTTCTACTGACAAATTAAATGTTACCTCTCTCAAATCCTAGCTTAGAACACTGCATCTCTTTTGACCGCTATAAATGTATCATCTCTTTCACTGAATTAAACACTAAAGCAGGAAGTTTTCTTTTCTCTTTGACATCAATAAAATGCGTCTGTTACTAACCCTTACCGACCGAAATGACAGACTTCCCTACCCTTTCATATACTTTAACTAATGAAATCCCTACCCTTTTACAGTAATGCAAAGTCAAACCATGACAAAAGAGAGGTTGAATAAGCATCACGTTTACGTCAAATTGTACCACGTGACCAAGTTTCTCCTTCACTTGTCATTTACTGTTCATTATTTCAACACTTAAATTAGTAGTTTCAACAATTTTTTTTATCCATAAGAATTGTTTTGAGCTGTTTTCATCTGTTAATTTTCTACTTTGAGAAATTCTCAACTTGAATCTGACGTTTGCCGTATACGTAAAACGCCATCCGGAGCATAAATCCCTAAAAAGATAAAGAAATCTCTACAGTCAGTTATAGTGCACGTGAGAATCACACCGACAAACTCAATATTGAGGCCATTGGAGCTAGCCGAAAGATAGCGGGACTGCAAGTGTTTTGAGTGTTTGTTTTCAGTTCCTATATTGTTTTTCACAAAGGTAAAGGATGAGCTGATCTATGGTTTAAAAGAATAATGAATCGATAAATGAATGGACGAATTAATGTATGGTTTTATTAAAGAAACGTTAATGGGTCAATAAATGAATGAAATAGCTTTGTTTCGTGATGGCCAGCTTAGTAAGGTATAAGCCTGCAATGAAGTAGCTTCATAGGGGGCCGGTACAGGGGGGCACTTTGTGATCTCCAAAGTAAGCCTTCTTTTTGCAAATCAGGTGTAGTGTAGATCCTCATCACACAGAAAGAAGCATTTCACTGTTTCTCGAGAAAACTGAACAATCTAATAGCCCGGGCATTGAAAGTATTTGGAAAAGCATTTCGATTCAACGTTCGCATGATCATTTGTGTAACTGATAACTAAACTGGACGAGACAGTCAATAACAAATAAGGCAAAGGTTGCCGACTGTGAAGTGACTTGAAGGAGTAATTAGAAAGACATTAATTATGAAGTTCGTGGCTGGTCGATTATGGGTGGACAAGTAGGTCATACTTATCCTGTAAACTGCCAAGATATTTAAGTTTTTGGCACTGTTAGTTAATATTTAGTTACAGTTTCTTTTGATCTCTGTAAATCCGGAAAAAATATACATTGAATTAGTCAGTTCCGTGTGGCCTTTTTAGATGTAAACACTTAGAGAACAGAAAGGACTACTGTCTTTTGCGTGATTTTATCCTGTTAATGATTTTTTTTCATCATTTACCAGCGTTTTAATAACACTAACAGTCCTTAGTAAGTAGTTTCAAACAATGCTGGCGTTTGCTACATTTTTCGAGGGCTATCGTCTCAGAAACAGAGACAACACATTAGTATGGTCAATTTTAGTTTTTTTTGCTAAGCTTTGAACATTCTAAACTGTTTTAATTTGTTTTTATAGTATTGCAAAAGAACAAAGGAGTTTTAAACTGAAGTAAAAATTATCCAGGTGCGGATCCACGGTACCGGTTTCCCATGTTTTACGAAAATCGGTCTAATTTTTCATAAATAAATACCTTTAATAAAAACTTTCCAAGTTAAAATCTAGCCAATATATATCATGTCTGAATGTCCCAGAAACGTTGGCGGAAAGGTGACTTTAGGGAATTAAAATCAAAAAAATGTCCCGGGAAAGAATGCCCCCGCCACCTCCTAGAAGCTTGCGCCCTTGGCGATCGTTTTGGAAATCAGTCCCGTCTTATCTCAGATCCGCGCCTGGTACCAACATCAGTCTTAATAACAGTAACAAAGAATTATTGGTAACTGATCCAAATCTGAAACAAATAAAATTTTCATCACACAGTTTTATATCAACTGTTCGTCAACTGAATTTCGTCAGTGAAAGCCCTCATAAACAGTCACGATTGAGTTAGGGACGTTGTTCCAGAGTCTGCCTATAACACTCTTCTTTCTCCTCTCCCGAGGAGGGAGGGAAGGGGGGGGCACCAGGAGCCCATCATCAACAAAGTTATATATACGGGGAGGCTCTGCTCCAAGTTCCGGCCCAAGTTCTGTCAAAATTTCCATTTTTGACAGAAAAAAATACCCAAATTTTTGACAGAAAAAATACCCCTTTCGTATACGTTATACATTGACAAATTGTACCCTTTCACATACCTACGGCTAGCTTAAACCTTTGCATCCCTTTTAAGTGCTGAATACAGATGAATAAATCACTAAAGCATAACTTGTTCTTGACCTTTTCACAGCCATAAAATGCCCCTGTTAGCCCTTATGGGCTTTTTTGCAGACCAAAATGTCAGATTTCCCCACCCTTTTATATACTTCAACTAGTGCTCCTGCGGTATCCAAATCTTGCCGTTTTAACAAAGACAAATAAAAACTGTCGAATAACAAAACAGCAAAGAACAAAGAAATCTGAGTATTGTCAATATTTCGAGTCGTTCTTCGTCGAGTTTTATTGAAGAAAGGGAAAGTCGTTGCAAATATATAAATATAGTTAAAAAGCGCCCCCGGGTTTCACAGCGGAGCCCGAATACAGATTGACTATTCATAGTAGACGCGCCCCTCCTCAACTCAAACGTGCTACTTTGTGAATTTTTACGTATACCCGTAACCGCAGTACGTCCAATGATCTATACCCACCACGCAGATAAAATCGTTTCAGCTGTTCAGTGAAACACTCAAACCATGTCAGCTAAATATCAGGAGCCCATAAGTGCTACATATCTATTTGCTTGTGTAAAATCAGGTGCCGGGTGATTGATTCCACCATAGGTCACCATATTAAACGAGATGATTTGGCAATATTCTGTCATGGTCAGCTCACGTATATAGTCAGGCTGTATTGGCTTAAAAAAGACGTTCTTCAAAAACTCTTTATGCGAAGAATTAACCCTCTAAAGAAACCATTATTTATTAGCTCTAGGCTTTTTCTAATGGTTTGTATTTTAGTATAATGTATGCCAACAGTACTTCTTGATAACTACTGGGATCAGAGAAATTAGATTGAACATAAAGTTTTAAAATTTGTCAGTGCCCTTGGCTTTAGATATTCTGGGATCAAAACTCCACTCAGACTACTCCACTCTAGGTACTTTAGTGAAGAACACTTGGAAAACTATGTGGATGAAGCTCAAAAATGCATGCAACCCATCAATAATATGTTCAGTTTTGTTTTTGTCTACAAAAGATATTTAGTTTTTTTAAAATGCTTACGTTACCCAGAAGAAAAATCAAGGGCCTTACCCTTAAATCACCAACCAAATAAGTCATTATTTTTTAGATCATCATAACGTGAGGAAATCTATGGTGTAAGTAAAGAAAGCCCTTAGATAATCCTATGTTTACCTTCCTTTATCACTCTGATCTATTGTACTTTCCCTCGAGGGGACTTATTTGTAGGAATATAATTACTTCAAGTTATTTTAAGCCATGAGTTACTTTTCGCTTGTTTGTGCCACTGTGTAATCAATTAATCCTCAGTTTTTGTCTCGATGACAGGAGTGGGGGTGGGCGAATGTAATCTGTTTTTTGTCAGCTTAAAATAATTGTGTCTCGGTGTATGTTTCCGCCTTTTAACCCCTCGTCACAAATTTCTTCTTTTGTTTTCTCCTTTAAGCATAGGGCCAAAAAGACACCGGCCCTACTAATCTAAGTTCACTGCAATAACCAAAGAAAGTTATCATATAACTCACTTCAGTTCGCTTTCATTGCACAAAGCAATTATCGGTATCTGCAGGATCTCCGGTTGGTTACTAAGTGGATGTTTTTTTTTTTTAATTTACTTCATTCTATAAAAAAAGAATATGAGAATAATAATACATCAGTTGTACAATATTAATTAATAGAAACAAAACTACAGGTACACAAGGTTAGCACACAAATTAAGAATGGAGAAGGGCACAGTTTAGTAAAACTAATTATGGCCCAACAAAAACTAAAATCATTTAACACAAATATAGGCAGCAGATAACACAAAATTACGTAGCTTCAAAAGACGCGGCCATCATCATCGCTGACCGCTCAACGCTGATGACCGGTTTTCCCGGATGTCCCGGTTGTTCCGGTCATTCCGGTTGTCCCCGATGTCTCGGGTGTCCCAGTTGTCCCGGTACGTTGTCCCGGTTGTCCTTGTTGTCCCGATTGCCCCGGTTGTCACGATACGTTGTACCGGTTGTCCTTGTTGTCCCCATACGTTGTCCCGGTTGTCCGGGCGGTTGTGCCGGTCGTCCCCTTCGCCCCGGTTGTTCCTGTTTTCCCGGTCGCCCCCTTCGCCCCGGTTGTCGTAGTTGTCCCGGTCGTCCTAGCTGTGTATGTTTATAGATCATGACGTGTTCTTTCAATATAAGTAAATCTGTTTTGGCCAGTATTCCCTCTCAGTTAGCCTAAACCTACCTGATCATGAATTCCCGAACAACAAACACATTATTGAGCAGAACACATGCACAGTATATAAACGTGACCGTGTAATAGTGTATAAATATAACTATTTATTCACTGAAGCACATATCTCTTTCAGATGGTTTTGTTTTAAATTAGGTCTTTTTATAATCACGCTATGGTATGAGGTGCATTGAGTATTAGAAACTAAAAATAAACCATGTCTCGAGACGAATACCTTGTGAGGTAAACTCAAAATGTACATTAAGCCTTTGTCTATGTCTTGGGTCATTTCGCAATCTTCCAAGGTACAAATTTGGCAATTTTTGAATAAAAACGGCACCAAGAAAGAGCAGGTGATTAAGCTTGCCTGTCACTGTTAGATTCTCGGTGGACTAACTTAAGAACATATAGCATTCGTTGCATGCCTTTTTTGACTTCCTAATCCGGACTCCAACGTATAGAACTGAAAGCTTATCTTAACCCGTTCCCAAAACATATTTTAATTAACCTTTTAGCTACTACAAGAGGTCAAAGTCAACCTTTCCAAATATTTTTTTTTAATATACTGAACACAAATAGTGACGTGCAAAATTGTTGCTAAAGAGGGTTGATTTTAATTGTCACAACGTCCCACTTCGTTCAGGGTATCAAAAGTTAGAACATATGCACAGTTTATTTATTTTGTACAGGTCTTCATCACTAAATCATACCGTGGAAAGGTTTGAAAATTCTAGTTTTAGATTAGAGCAGTTTCTGTTATTCAATACTACCCTGAATACAACTTCGGCATTAAATCTTTAATTTCCTAATTAAGTCAAGGTACGGGTCGAGAGCCGAGTTTCTAACTTAATCGGGCCCTTGACATCCGACTCAATGCGATGAAAGCTTTTGAGCAGAACTGTACAGTAAATGCTTTTACCATTGTTCAGTTTTCCTTTAAGAGGGAAACAGAGGTGGAAATTTACGAGCATTCGTTTCATTTTATTCTTAACACTTTCAGGCGAAGCAAGTAACAAACGAACGGGAAGTGAGTCGATTAGTGAACGCCACAGGTAACGCAGCACGAGGTTGTTCTAATTGACACCGTGCTGCGATAACTCGGTGGGAATTGTTTACAAAGCACCTAATTTACTCAACGCACTACATTATAGAAAGCCCAGGTGGCAAATGGATCTAAAATGTGCAAAAAGAAGAAAACAATTAAAATATCTTCCTCCGTTTGGTAAAATTTAGAGTAATGAGAAAACTGAGAGCCTCAGTGATATCCTCTAACGCCTTCCTCGGATCAGGTCTCGTATCATTACGATTAAAATTTTTGATTTCTGAGAAGTTTTTCCTTCAGTTTGACTTACATGCTGTACTTAGCAGATCCAGTTTTTAAATCTAAAAATGAAAAGCCAGTTCAAGATCAAGGTGCAACCAGAATTAAAGACTGGACTGCATTTTCTCTGATAGTGGGATACTCAAGCTGACCGTTCCGCGAACTTTACTTTGCGTTTTTTTCTCTTTGCCCTTTGGCAAACTTTTGGAACCTATTTACACGTCTATAAAATAACAAAGTCCACTTGTGATATGAGAGGGGTCATGTATAGCTCTTCACCACCCCAAAAGCCATGGAAAGTTGACCTGAAGTTTCAATTGTTCTAAGTAAAGCAATACACCTCAGGCTATTTGCAATATAATTGTTTCGGTTTTGAATTGCAGAGTTAAATGCATTCAAGCAGAAGATAGCTTATTAGGCCACGTTTTGTCATGTCACGAAGCTACCATCCGTCCATATCCATGGAGGTGAGCGAGCACTGCAATTAAGCTTACAACTGTCAGGTCGAATGTTTGCTGTCACGCTTAATGACATGCCTATTGTTTCCAATGACTGCCCGCCCCTTTAGATTAACTGTGCGCCTATTATGAGTCGCGATAAACCAATCATAGGCTTGACCACTAACCTGAGCAGGGACCGCAAAGCTCGGTGAGCTGAAGCTGACAAGGTTTAAAGATTGTCTGTTAGTGAGGTATGAAGGCCAGATGACCGTGGACGTCTCTGCCAAAGTGAAAAAAACTGGAGTACCAGCAGAGTTGAAATCTCTTGTTAGGATGAACGCATGGCGTCGTACTATAACCTCGTGTGGGTTTTGCTACTCGTTGTAAGTTGACCACTGACATGCACAGCCATCACGTTAGTCTATAAGCAGTTTATCACTTACAAATCATAACACGTCTTGCTTCTCACTGCAGCTAACTGAGGCACCTCTCCAAAGTCACAATGCTTCTACGGACATCTCTCCATCGACAAGACCCTCCTGTGCGAAATACGCGGTAACAGACTTTCGAGATCTTTTTTTGTGTGCGTTTGTTGATGTGTGCACTTAAATTCTTATAGATTACTGTTCTATTGTGTTTTCAAAAATAATTACGCTGTGCATATTCCATTTGTACTCGTGTTTATAGCTACAAGAGAACCTTAATTCCTTCTTGTGGTTGGTGAAGAGAGATCCGCCAGCTTATTTCTTCGGAACGATACATGTGCCGTATACACGAGTATGGGATTATATACCGTCAAACAGCAAGGATGCCTTCAGGACGAGCCAGTACGTCTATTTTGAACTTGATTTAACTAACAAGGCTACAGTGAATGCACTATGGAGATGTCAAATGCTACCCAAGGGAGGACTTCTTAAGGACGTGTTGCCGCGAAGTATTTATCGACGCCTCTACAGGCACTTACGATATATAAAAAAAATGATTCCGGTGTGGCTTAGAGACAAAGACGATGATTATCGGCAAGGAATGGCGCCGTACGCTGACAAGATATTTCAGCTTTTGACCAAAGATTGGCAACAAAAGCGACCAATATGGGTTATGCTGATGGTCAATTCTCTGACCAAAAGCGACATTAAAAACAGGGGCATTCCAGTGCTTGATCAGTACCTGGCGTCCGAGGCCTCCAGGAACGAAAAGTTCACCGGAGCTGTAGAAGAGGTGGAGGAACAATGTCGGCCGCTTAATTCTCTCAACGACACACAGGTTTGTAGAAAAAATTACATAATCCCGCAAAGCTGATCATGGGCAAATGTTTTTCAGACAGAATGCAGCTTACCGCTGACAAAAGTGGATTAAATGAATTGAAACTAACAACATTAAATATTTAGAGTTAAATTGCACGCGACATTTAATAAGTGAACATTTCATTGCCCTTTAGAACGCGCCTTCAAGGGCCTCATCCCGCGAGAATTTATGCGCGTCATTGAAGCGTGATACACGTTTTTAGGCTGTTTCCTTGATATTTTTCTTGCGTGAGCCGACTGGGGGGAATACTTCTATTACAACGCGTGATAATCTGTGAGTCATCTTGGTGGTATTCCCGGTTTTGGAAGAAACCTGTAAAAACCGTATGGCAGTGCATTAGCTTAGCAGCGAGATTTTGTTTTTTTAATGTGTGGACGCGTACAAAATGGTCATTGTGTTTATCTTAGAGGTGTTGTGTATACGGCCGTCACAAACAGTGTTCACATCTTCTAAATCATGTTTTGTTAATAGGGCTTTTCACGGTAATTTTAATGTGAATTTCTGAAACGGCTTGTCAGGGTTTGATGGCAACGTGACACAAGACATCGCAAGGCTTTAGTTTCTCTACCTGGTACCTGATACTTAAGAGCTAAAATTAATTCGAGTCTCTTCCTCTTTTACCGCAGAACGTGCTCTTTTAGTCAGTTTGTGGGTAAGAGTATACGTGCGTGCTCAAATTACCTAGTCTCTTTGATGTGTTTTCTATGTTTAGGGTTATTGTTACGTAAAGCTAATAAGCTATAACCCTGTAATAAAAACCATTGGCGAGATAAAACCGTGAGTAAACCTTGTTCGACTTGTGTTAGTCAATTAAGTAAAGCGGATTCCACGCGTGTACGCCATTTTTCTTCATTACCACTGGGACATTCTTAGAGGCGGCTTTTCCTTTCGGTGTCCTGTGTTGGGCTCCGACTACAGTATCAGTTACAATGTTGTTTGATGCAGCTTTTATCGACTCTGATATGAAAACATCTCGCATCTTGTGTGTCATTAAAATTTCATTACAATCACGCCTTCTATGTGAAAAGATTTCCTTGCCGCACTTGGGACTATCAGCTTAATTACTCTGTTACTGGGGGAACATGCACTGAAAATAGACCTGATCGACGATTTTAGCCCTAATACGATGAAATCCACGTAGCTTTTCAATGAGTGGCAGCGTGGTTCTTATGTCAACAAACTATTTTGTAGACAATAGTGTTAATTAAATCAAGAACATGTCCTCCGCCGCGACAGATCGAGAAAAGGCGTTTTGATTCAGGTCATAAGGAACGATTGCAATCGGTTTTACCTCACCGCAGTGTCATTTAACTGATGCCCTTGCTGATCATAACGTCACTTTCTTGAAATACGCAATTGTATTTGCGATAAAGAGAGTTGAATAGTTGTATTAAAAATGGGTCGAGAGACCTACAGACGAACAAACATTTTCCACTTGTACTGATCACTGTCCAATACGTTTTCTCTGTCTCTGGTAACGTGTGAAGCGTTGCATCGTTTCTCCGGGGCAGATTTTAGAGCCCAAACTATGAACTTTCACAATGCGTTTCGCTATTGTGTTCGCTAAGTCTGTTATTTATTCCATTAGCTTTATGTTCGTTGACTTAAGCGATAAAGGGCGGTTCTTTTTGATGTTTAAAATTAAAAGGTCTCTTGATCGGGAATCGTTCCGCCACTTGCACACAAATCTGGGCGAGACTTTTTCATAGTACTATTTTGATAAACCCGGGGTTGAAGCTTATCTTAAATTAGTTTTATCTGTTGTTTTTGTTAAACAAGAAAATTGTTATTATGTTGTGTCGAACAACAATAGGGGTTTTCAATAAGGTTTGATTTATAACGCAGAAAACAAATTGCGTGAAAGGCTTTTATCTCGAATGCGCTCTCTTGCTCCCCGCTCTTGTAACATTGTTTAAGTAAGAAAGATGAAAACCTCTCTCCNGAACATGCACTGAAAATAGACCTGATCGACGATTTTAGCCCTAATACGATGAAATCCGCGTAGCTTTTCAATGAGTGGCAGCGTGGTTCTTATGTCAACAAACTATTTTGTAGACAATAGTGTTAATTAAATCAAGAACATGTCCTCCGCCGCGACAGATCGAGAAAAGGCGTTTTGATTCACGTCATAAGGAACGATTGCAATCGGTTTTACCTCACCGCAGAGTGATTTAACTGATGCCCTTGCTGATCATAACGTCACTTTCTTGAAATACGCAATTGTGCTGGCGATAAAGAGAGTTGAATAGTTGTATTAAAAATGGGTCGAGAGACCTACAGACGAACAAACATTTTCCACTTGTACTGATCACTGTCCAATAAGTTTTCTCTGTCTCTGGCAACGTGTGAAGCGTTGCATCGTTTCTCCGGGGCAGATTTTAGAGCCCAAACTATGAACTTTCACAAAGCGTTTCCCTATTGTGTTCGCTAAGTCTGTTATTTATTCCATTAGCTTTATGTTCGTTGACTTAAGCGATAAAGGGCGGTTCTTTTTGATGTTTGAAATTAAAAGGTCTCTTGATCGGGAATCGTTCCGCCACTTGCACACAAATCTGGGCGAGACTTTTTCATAGTACTATTTTGATAAACCCGGGGTTGAAGCTTATCTTAAATTAGTTTTATCTGTTGTTTTTGTTAAACAAGAAAATTGTTATTATGTTGTGTCGAACAACAATAGGGGTTTTCAATAAGGTTTGATTTATAACGCAGAAAACAAATTGCGTGAAAGGCTTTTATCTCGAATGCGCTCTCTTGCTCCCCGCTCTTGTAACATTGTTTAAGTAAGAAAGATGAAAACCTCTCTCCTTAGGGCATTATTGTTCAACCACCACCTGCTTAAATTGTGGTTTTTCGTTTTCTTTGAAATTTTAAAAGAACGTTGTCGTGTGGCAACGCAGTGTCATAGAGAGATAGAGGAAAACAAGAAACAAAAAATAGGCCAAGAACACGATTTGGCTTTGTATTTAAGGCATTTGTATCTGGGAAGCCCACGTATGACAAGAAATGTTTTTATGTTCCGAACTAACAAACATCATTTTTTTATGATTTCGTTTAAAGGCCTGTTAATGCGTTCACGGAATGATAAGGTAACCTTAGAGCGAGCAAATGTGGCATTGTAGAAACTGAATTGACCATATTTGCAAACTTGTTAACGAGAACCTAACTTGCCCTCTTTTGTAAGTTGAACCTCAGGGCATAAAAACCCGATAATTTAGTATATCGAGAAAGATAAAATGTGTAATCGATTCAATACATACATCTGCATTTTGAAGATAATCTTGAATTTTGAGAAATCAAACAAACGCGAAAGTGTTTCCTCTTTCTAGACTTTGCTACACTGCAAAACTATCACGTCCTATGATAACCAAACAACCTCAATTATATAGTTGTCTTATATCATTACCGGCCGCAATGAACTTATGTCATCGATATACGGATTCCTTTCACGTTTTAGGTGGCTGCATGTTCTTGATTCGTGGGTTTTGGTAAATTGGGTGTTAACTAAATATCAGTATTACATTTATCCCAAATGAAGAAGTAGTCGCCGTCTTTTGTATTTTCGGGTCTGTCTCCCCATATATATACAAGAAATCAATGGAGATAATAGTCCAGAAAAGAGATAAGACTTCAGCAGTATCAGTAATCCATGTTTATTTGCGGTGTACCGATTTAATCTTTTTGTTAGCCAAGAACCATTTCTCGTATAGCCGAAGCATGATTTGACAAAAATTCTTTCGCATCTTTTCTTTTCTTCAATGACAATGAATTCTACACTACAGGGAAATTTTCATCCGTCAACGGTTTTTGATTTTATACTTAGCAGCAAGCAATTTTGAAAATCATGGAAAAGACAGTTTGATGATCTCTCTGTGAGAAAAGACATAAAAAGGGAAAACAGTTAGAACCATATTATCGTAGCGCTATTTTAGGCGTCAGAATTTGAGGACGTGAATGGCTGCATTTTTTTACCTTCCGTCCTGACTCGTGTTCAATAAATTTAACATTATTTTTCAATTTACACGATGTGTCTCAATATAGCTCAGAGTCCAAATTCAAAAAAAAATTCTGATGTCTACCATTCAGCAGGTTGTTTCAAAGAAGTCCGAAAGTTTTTTTAACCGAATTTTGTCTGTAAACTGTAAGCCGTCCAACCATAATTCACCACATTTCACCGCCATCAAAACAAAATTACGTTGCAGAAATTTAGTTAGAACGGGAAATTATAGAAGTGGGTTGTTTTTTTTGTTATTTTCAGTAAGTTTATGGCGTCAGACACACTTGATCCGGTTCATTACAGCACGTTATAACGTTTTTTTAAGCCGCAAAGTCAATACGAGGGATCATTAAGTTGGTCATTCCACGTCCTCCAAATTTCTAAAATAGAAAGTCATAACTCACAATTATCTCCTCTGTCTCATTCAGTAATTATTTAATGGAATAACATCATCTGATTTATTGCCCATACAGGCGCCTCACTTTCCAACCATGCGGCCCGCCTAAAAATAAATCTTCTAAAAATGTGTAAAAACCCCTCTTGCCTGCTAAAAGTGAGAAGAAGTGTTCATTTTGCTCCGTTTGTCCTAGAGTAAATTACCAGGGGACGTGAAATGGAATGCTAACTGTCGAGTGTGTCTTTTTGTTTCTCGACATTTGGTCAAAAGTTTCTCAAAAATTTGGATCGTGAGTAAGCGTTAATGGCCTGGCAAGATTATCTGTTTGTTTGTTTTTTTCTGGCTAGACTGCTTCTGCAACCAATCCGCGGCCGCAAATCTTCTAAAGTGCTTAAAGTTTTCGGAACTTTATTCCCACAATGTAATTTTACCCTCTCGGATTTGTTAGAGAATCATGCAAATGTCATGTGTTAACATCTGACTCTGTGGACGAAACCTTTAGGTGCAACCATTCAGCGCGGCAGATGAAGGAGGTCGCTCCTGTACCTTCACATGGTGTTTTTGTTTTTCAACATTTTACGAAAATAGATTTGTTTTTTACTGCATTTTTATGTGGACACTCTTTAACTGAGAGTGAGTACTTAAGTTGAGTGTTAACGCTTATCACAATGTATTTTTGGGCCACGTCCAGGGGTAATCGTGCAGATTCGAGAAGATGCGCCAAATGGGTCCATTAATTGATTGATTTTTTATGACCGCGTGTAGTGAGTCGGCAAAAAAGCTAATGGACTACTTTCAGAGAAATTCTTGTCATACTTTTACTAAAACTACCTTTTCTCTCATGAAAAACGGCCCTTGTCGATAACACAGAGGTGTCATTTTCAAGACAATTCTTGGACGAAAAGAGAACGTTTCTTTTACACTGGATACCATAATATGACATGAAAAGATAAACGAAACCCGGTCATCTTGCAAACCTTGTCTTCTTCCCGAAGTTAAAGACAGCTTTTAAGAGTTAACGTGTACACATGACAGAGATACTTCTTAACAAAAGGAAACACTTTCTGTTGCTGCAATAACTCTTTGGGCTGCCGCGTTAGTCTGAGTTTTTAAAAGCAAGGGCGTGGTTTTCGAGGGCCTCAAAAACCAAGCCTTTACACTTCTCAAGAGTAATGCCTCATTAGCAAGAACTTGTTTACAACTCTACAAGAGTATGCGGTAGAGTCGTACATGCAAGCATGTGAACCGCAAGACAAATAAGAGAAGTGTACTCCGCCCTCAAGATGAATTAATGGCTGTACGAGTTCCGTCAGTTCAGAGGTTAAAGTTAACCCGTCACGTGCGAAATAACCTGGTAAACAATATGTTAAGGTGGCTCCGTAATTAATACTAGAGCATTTTGCTGTGACAAATTTTTCGTCATAACTTTCTCGATTTTAACGCGATGGCTGCGAAAATTTGCAAAGAACAACAGATATCATTCGGCAATAATACGAAATATTCCGATTTCATTGATGGTAAATATTTCTTGAGAAATTAGCGCTTAAAAGGACCCTAATATTCAAAGAAAATCGCGTCTTGTAAAAAATTTTGCTGATATTTTTTACTGAAATTTCTGGCATCGGCTTCAATTGATATAATAAATATGCCAGAGGAATTTCAGAAAAATCGTTGGAGCAGAAGTCCGTAACTAAAAGTCGCTCAAAATTCAGCTGTGAAATTGTTTTGGAATTTCCAAAATAAATTACTATCAGGAAGAAGGAGCCACCAGTTTGAATTTTCGGTACAAGTAAATTCAACATTTGCTAATTCTTAAAACAGAAGCCGATTGCCTATCGTGCTATTCTTTAAAAGGTACTTTTTAGTTTTAGAAGCACTATAAATTGCTCCAAACCTTGCTCTGAAGTAGAATTACTTGTTCTTCGACAGTTTTAAAATATCCCTCGGCAGTTTTGGCTCAAACTCCTGCTGCATACATTTTGATGTATTGCAATGCATTTTCAACGACTTGTAGTGCTGTTTGTTGCTTCCAACACAGGAAAAAAGTATTGAGATTGGACGCTACCTCGTATCAGAGCTCAGATAGAACTGTCCAACACGTTTGTTTATGACTACAAAATGAGCACGAGCTGCAGTTCTGCGAGGAATTGTCACCTCACCCAGGGGGGACGAACGACAATGATGACCATGCCTGTGAACCGAATAACATCACAGTGCAAAATAAAATTATCGCAAAAATACTGCCCGTGAATAAATTTACAACTCTGAAATTTTTGTCACTCCTTCCTTCAATGAATGGGTATTTTTTTCTTGATTATTATGTTTTGCTCTGCAATACATGTTTACACAGATCGGTTCACAGACATGGGCATCATTCTCTATTTTCCAATTCCCCATAATACACTCTGTTTGCCCCCCAAATTTTGCATAAACCATTGTTTTTAAATGCTCCTGGGAGTATTGCATTTTCCCAAGAGCATTTTAAGACAATAAGTTATGCAAAACTTGGGGGGCAGACAGAGTGTATTATGGGGAATTGGAAAATAGTCAATTGTCATTCGTCCCCCCTAGCTGAGGTGCGAATTCCTCGCAGAGCTGCCGCTCGTGCTCATTTTCTGGTCATAAACAAAGGTGCTCGACATTTCTGTCTGAGCTTCGATACAAGGTAGCTTACAATCCCAATACCTTTTTCCTGAATTGGAAACAACGTACAGCAGGAAAAGCCGTTGAGGATGCATTGCAATACATCAAAATGTATGTAGAAGGAGTTTGAACCAAAATTGCCAAGGGATATTTTAAAAATGTCGAGGAACAAGCCATTCGACGTCAGAGCAAACTTTGGAGCAATTTATAGTGCATCTAAAACTGAAAAATACCTTCTAAAGAATAGCACGATAGGCAATTGGCTTCTGTTTTCAGAATTAGCAAACACTGAATTTACTTGTCCCGAAAATTGAAACTGGTGTCTCCCTCTTCCTGATAGTAATTTATTTTTGAAATTCCAAAACAATTTCACAGCTGAATTTTGAGCGACTTTTAGTTACGGACTTCTGCTCCAACGATTTTTCTGAAATTCCTCTGGCATATTTATTATATCAATTAAAGCTGATACTAGAAATTTCAGTAAAAAATATCAGCAAAATTTTTTACAAGACGCGATTTTCTTTGAACAGTAGGGTCCTTTTAAGCGCTAATTTCTCAAGAAATATTTACCATCAATGAAATCGGAATATTTCGTATTATTGCCGAATGATATCTGTTGTTCTTTGCAAAATTTCGCAGCCATCGCGTTAAAATCGAAAAAGTTATGACGAAAAATTTGTGACAGCTAAATGCTCTTGTATTAATTACGGAGCCACCTTAACGACTTTTTTTTAGATTCACAACAGGTCATTTTTCAACTTTTAAGAAAGACTTTTTCTTTGCGGTTGAGATATCCCGAATAGGATTATGTCCTTTTCCCTTGTTACAAGTTGCACGTCCCAATAAGCAACTTCTTGACAATCTGAATAATCGGCGCATTTGCAAACGAACGCGCCCGGCTTAAAAATGCCTTAATTTGTAGGCTGGTAATGTTATAAAAGCTATTCGGTACAGTGTGAAAATAACGTAATATAAAGTTTTCTGTTTTGCCTCTTCTCATTGTAGGTTATTTTTGCTTTGAACCAAACACTAAACTTCCAAGAAAAGTTACGGGTTGGCAAAGCAACATTAGCATACACGACAGATGACTTAATAGATCACTACAACTGCGGTGATTTGAACACGGTGTTGTTTTCCACGCAAACAACGCGGCTGGCAAACATGAATTCTAACTCAACACTTAAAGAACTGGAAATGCAGGCTACCAGAGACATTGATAAATACTTCAAGACAGAACTTATCTTCAAAAGAAATGAACTCATGGCAAAGAGAGTTATTGATCTGTTAAACAAACACCCGGAGCGGAATTTCTTTTTCGCGTTTGGCGCGGGTAAGTGCTTCATCAACATTCTTCACCAACAGCAAAGACTCCCATTGGCTGCCTCAGTATCATGTGACATCTAACAACGTAACTGTTTCCCGCCAAAACTCTCCCGAAAGTTGCTCTTCAGAGTAAAATAATTGTGATACTTCGAGAAAACTTTATGCTAAAATTTAGCCAAGAATGTAACACTTTGAGAAGCACAACAACTTGGCTGGTCTTGTCTTGGGTTGGCCTTTCGTCCAAATGTTGGCTGCAAAAAGCTAGTTTTCATCCACAAAGGCGCCATTCTCGTTATTAACCTTCTAAACTCCTTAATGGTAGCCAATGCGAAAAAGTCGCAAAATTTTAAATTGCTTTTTGTAAACTCCAGAGATATAAACAGCACTACGCAATTCTGCCCCAGAGGTTTCATTTGTTTGGCAACGCAATAGGATTGCGTCCACCCATTTAAAAGTAAGAGTGTCCTGCCCTCATTATATCTGTTGATTAAGTGTTACCTGTTGGTACTTTTGCAGGGCATTTTCTTGGAAATCACAGCATTATTGATATCATGAAACGCGAAGGATTTACAGTAGATCACTTAGGACCCAATCAGAAATTACCAAGGTAAGAATTGTACAGTTTGTACTGCAGTATCGATACTTCTCGCAATACCGTGTGACTGCGTTTTGTGATTGGCTAAAATATGTCCCGCTACTATTTTATCCAATCAGACGTAGACCCAACACCAAAGTTCGCCGACATTTCCCGCGCAATTTTCACGCCCTTGACACATGCAGGGTATAAGGAGAGGCTTTAATTTGTTCATATTGCGTCTAGCATTTCGGGCGACTTTCATTTATAAAAGGCCTTATTCAAAATATTACATATTCGTGAGGGCACTTTCAGTTGACTTTCACGGTAAGAGACTTCCTCCAGTTACCGTTCACGAGTGAAGCGAGCGAGGAGCGCCAGACACGCGCGACGGGTGAAGGCGCCTTTCCCCGTCGCGCGTGTCTCACGCTTCACGCCCGCCTCGTGCTTCGTTCGCCCGAAAAATGCGGAAAAATAGGGCCTGTTCTGCTGGCTATGTCGCTGGAAGATCAAGGTTAATATCCTCTTTTACTCATTTTTTATCAGGGTTGACTCAAGTAAAAAGCAGCTAACCGTCAAAGAAGATCTTAGCAGTGATACGCCACTTCCTATTCTACCGACATCATCGGCCGTGAATATTAGAAGCAGACAAGTTTTGAACACAGCTACGCTACTGTGTCTCCTTCTGTGGTGTTTAATAAGAGACTTTTTATAAGAGTAATTAAATGCATACGTTCTGGAGAAACGCAATTACATGTAAAGGGGCATACGTCGGGCGTGACAAAGTTCCTCCCAGGCCAACAAGAGAAAAATTGTTCTGAGTTTATCTCGCCATCAGAGAGAAAGAAGTGCGTCCGAAAAGTTGTGTATAACACACTGATGTGGATAACACATGGAAATACAGAGAACAATAAAAAGAGATGAAAAAACACCTAACCTTTTTCTAGTCCGGTGGACAGTATTCGCCAATCTGAAGAACGCGTTCAACAATAGAGAACTACATCGTACAGCTGGTAGACCATTCCATCTTGCGTTTGACCAACTAGGACAATAGGGAACTTAAGCACCAGACGTTCTTGATTCTCGAACAGCATGGCTGGCCTAACTCGATCGGGGACGCAGTTTGCGCGACAAATAAAAAGCATTAGGCAAAACAACGTGAAACCATCACAAACGCCGACGGAATAATTCAGTTGAAAATGTCTTTCAAAGATTTGCGTTAAGTTCTGATCTCTCTTACGAGGAAAATATGATTTCAGACGAGGAATTTCTACTTTTGTATGACGAAAACTCTTCGAAGAACACAGAATTTGAACCCAGTTTCAACGTGAGAACTCGCGTGTTGAAGTCCGTGACCGCAACCCAAGAACATCTTGACATGCGCAGTGGCTGTCATGGTGCAAAACTACTTCCGGTTGGCGTCGTGGTTCCAAGAACGTCTGATGCTTAAGTTCCCTAATGTTTTTTCGACACTTAGGCCTGGTTCAAGCGTCGCGTTTCACAAGTAAATGAGGGAGAACAATGGATTTTCCTCATTAGCATTAATTTTGGCAGATGTGAAATGTGACCTTTAATCAGGGCCTTAGCCAAATTCCAAACCTTCATTCATGTAAATGATATTTCAAACACTGGAAATGTTTGATTCGACATCCAGGCACCGAAACTGGTTGAAAAGACTCCGGTTTAAGATATTAAAGTAAGAGAATTTCGTCAAAGAGGATCATTTAAGATTATTTAACTCACTTTCTCTAATTCAAAATGTTTTTCAGACCTAAAGTTGGATGTGTGATGGAAACTACATAACAATACTATAAATATTTATTTACAAGGACTCAAAGGAGTCAAAGATTGCTAAACAAATTGATTTTCCTGATAACAAACCATTTATACT